TTCTAAATAAACAGGCAATGAAATTATTCTTAAAAAAAGATTAAAAAAAAATTTTTTTAAATAAAGAAGGGATCAAGCAAGTCATAAAGAAAAAATGTCTTATATCAAGATGACATATTTAAACAGTCTTAAAGTTATATTCTGTATTTATTTAAAAAGAAAAGAAAATAGAACCAAAATTTTTCCAGTACAGAAACAAATCATTGATAAATGAAATATAATTCATTAAATTTTAAAAAGTTAATAAATATTAATAATTATTGTAAGAATACAATTAGTTTAAATTACCTTTGAGGTTTTTCAGTACATCATCAATATTTGCATCACTATAGTGGTGATTGCACATAAAAATGTCAGCAATAGTTGGGGATAGCATTTTTGTTTTTCAATCATCAGCCTTCATGATCAAATAATTATGCAGAAAATAAATATTTAAATATTTTCAAAAACATTCCTGATGATAATATTACTATATATTTAGTTCTGTAATAACAGAATTGATGAGTTGTTATGACATAAATAAAACCTCTATCAATAAATAGGACAAATAAATTCAAATAATCATATAAAAAAATTTTATATATATATATATATATATATATATATATATATATATATATATATATGAAAAAAAAATGTAAAATATAATGAAATGAAAATTATTTTAATAATTTAATTTTCAAAATATTGTGTACCACATAATTAGGATTTGCACCTCAATTTTATGACAGTGACAATCGATAGCTGCATTAGAAACTGAAAATGCAGCCATTGGCTAGTTATTTTGCAAAAATATGACAGTAATGAACACTGACGTTTTGTATTTAAATACAAGATTGATTTATTGCAAAAGAGAATGTTGAAAATTGAACTGTTTTCAAGTTATGGATAGAAAAAAATATTCTTTTCAGCATTAATAATGAGATCTCCTTTCTACAATTCCGAAACCCAGTCAACTACCAAATTGAGATTAAAAAAAAAAAGTCAGTCTCAATATTGAGCAAACCAACACAAGTAAAAAATAGGTTTTCTGTATTACGCTTTAAATTAATTTCCTTTCTGCCTCGTGTCCAATGAATAAACCGTTGACCTTTTTATGCCTTAGTCTTTCTACTGTGTACAACCAGAGCACAAAATGTACAATTATTGACACACCATTGATTTTATAATGTACAAACCGAGTATTAAATGGATTGGATTTTCTATTTTTTTTTCTTGTGATATCATTCTCTGCAATTTCTAACAACCACTGTAGATAATAGCTTTCTTATTTCAAAAGATTATATAATCAACATTGAGATATCAAAAATGTATACACATTTTAGATGTTAGAAACCATTATATTCTTCAGTATTTTCTTAAATTTTCTAATATTAAATATAACATTAAAGGTAGTCCCTGTTTAAATAATGCATTATCTTAAGTGTTCAAAATGTAATAGTGGATATTTTCAGGGTACATCCTCTATAATATGTGACTGATACTATATCTATAAAAAGGCCTTATCTGACATCTCTTCGGATATTGGAAGTAATCTTTCTCAAATGTAAATACATTGTTTATGCAAAGACAAGTAACATTGTATTTGCTGTTCATATTAGAAACTTTTATTGAATGGGCACTTCAGTTTTGTTGCTCATGTTGTAATTTGAGAAAGGAATTTTATTCTCACAAACTTTTTGCAACCTAAAAAATAAATTTTGAAAAATTCAGGAGTTGACCAACTGAAAAAGTAATTTGAGGAGATCAACTGTTAAATAGTCAATTTAATAGAAATCGAAGAGAACAGTATGATGTGATTGACAGTTACACGTATATTTTTTTCAAATTGCACAAATAAAGATCTGTTGAAGTGGCAACTAAATTCATTAAGAGTAGTAAAAATATCCGATATTAATCAACAAATTCTTTTAATCATGACTGATTTTTTTTAACTTGTTTTCCTTTCATATTAATATAAAGACTAAAAAAAAATAAAATAAAAAATAAATAAACCCAATGAAATTAAAAATCACCAATTTGTAATGACAAATTTTTAGTAAACAGTCCAAAACTGTTTTTTGCATGTATTTTATAAGATAATACTTAAATTCAAGCTCTAAGATGGTATAAAGGAAAACAATACAATTCAATCTCAGATGGTTGTAATAAAGCTTTAAATTGGCATTTCAGGTTATGCAATAAAAAAGATATTCAAATACAAAAATTATTTTTAGATAAAAAAAAAAAATAAAAGAAAGAAACCTCAAAAAGTATAAGAGCTGAGATAAGAATGTGGCTTGAAGAGAAATTCCAGAATTAATAATAAAATTGCATTTTTATAAACACTGATTCAAATTTGATAGAACAACACTTATTTTGAACAAATCCCAATCCCAGCTTTGTCATACCACTTACATAAACATTGTTAAGTAGGAAAGCGTTTTGGGAATTACTGAAAATGACAAAAGTATTTTCTTTAAACATTAAGCTTCTACAGGTACATTTAGCACAGTTTCACATAAGAAAAGGGCTGGTTATATCTGTAAATGAAAAATTTAGCCTATACACTTGTGCTTGTGTGTATCTACAGATTAAATAATACACACATACACTTCTCCCATTGGGACAATTAGGATAAACTTTAACAAGTCTAAATCGATTAGTTGGATGAGAGAACTAAAGTAGCCTCTAATTTGTAAGCATTATTCTATATGAGCAAATTTAAGTAATAAACTAAACAGAATTTAAATAAAACTACAAGCGAATACATTTTTGTTTTAAATTTGATTATTTGTAAATATCAAAATGTAAAAATGATTCAAACAAAAGCAGCTAAGTAACCTTTCGGAAACTGTAAGAAAACTTGAATTTGATTTCGTTATTGGCTACAAATATTAGTCATTTTGATCAAGAAAAGTGACAGGTAAAAATCGTAAGTTTGCAAAAATCTAAGATCAGTAGCAATTTTTTGGGGGCTAGCTAAGTATTATATTTAACAAAGTTGTTTATAACAAGATTGAGGTCATTTTATCAGAAACAAATTTGTAAAGTATTAGGAAAAAAAAAAAAAAGAAAAAAAAAAAAAGAAAAGAAAAAAGTGGTTTTATAACTTCCACAAAATGCAATATTTAAGTTAAGGGAGAGGCAGTAATCTTAATTCTAAGATAATATATTGAATAAAATGTTATTCTATCTACAATAGATTTTCTGGAAATATGCTCCAGGTTCAATACATTTTTAAAACATTAGAATATAATAAACAAAACTATTATTTTGTATAATAATAGCAAAAAGCAATAAGAAATTATGATAAGTTTAATGTCATGAAAACTGACAAAACAGACTCACCAATAATTGGTTCAGACAAACTTCTAGGATACATATGCCTTAGAAAACATTTGAAAACACTATAAAACCCAGTCTTAAAAGAATTTGTCTCATCGAGCAGAGAAGTTGGCATTTTAGGTTAACTTACAATCAGAAAATTCATTTCAGCAGTGCACAAAATTCAGATTTCATTTTTCTCTTATTTTTGTATTTTTTTAAATTTTTTTACAGTTGCTAAAAATTTATATTGTGATACTTTCAATTTAAAATTTTTAAAAATAAGAATAAAAGCTATTATAGGGGGTCTATATAAATTTACAATTGCATACTTTCTGCTGTGCAGTTGCCTTAAAATAATGAAAAGAAATATATATATATATATATATATATATATATATATATATATAAGGCTTTAAAATGTATATATTCATTCTAATTTATTGATGAAAAAGATTTTGCAGTGATATCACACTCACAAAAGCTTCTGAAATTTTGATATTCAATTGGCAACTAAAGTAAAGCAAATATTTTGCCTGTTGCCTACAGCTTCTTTTTTTGTATTAATTGGAATTCTGTTTCCAAAAATTTGGAATGCTTGAGTATAAAAACATTATCCTTTCTTTCAAGCATTTATTCTGAAGTTGTGCAGTATGTATATTTTATTCCCTATTTATAATCTCATCTTGTAGACTTGGTTTGTTCTATTATTGAACTTGTGAATACATTATTTCTTTCAACTATTTTTTTTAATCATTTTTTGTTGCTATTTCTATTGGGGATGTTGTTCATGTAACAAATTGACAGCAGTTTTAAAAGCTGAATATTAACTGAATCCTTAAAGATCTTCCTTTATGGATCAGATTAAAATGAAACAAAAATGGATATTAATAGACATCAAAAGAACCAGCACCACACCTGATATTTTTATAACACAGGTCTTAAAATTTCATGAGTTTGCATGAAATCAATTACTATACTAAAAACAATTGTTTTATATTCATAGAATGTGTAAAATGGAAGCGCCTTTCAAGTTCTAATTGTCAGTCAAAATTTACTTATTCTGATAGAATAAATGGTAAGATTTTCAAGATAAAAAAAAGCACAAAAATATAAACTTAAATTTCACAGAATTCCATTACAAACATACTACATGCAATTTTAAATTTAAAAGAAATTCTATTATCAAATGGTGTCCACTTTATTTGCAAGATAGTGTCTCATTCAGTTTAAATATACTACACAAGTGTTACTCTAATGTTTATAAGAATTGATTTTATAAAATAGTTACCTTTCTTTGTTTTTTTTGTTTTTGTTTTTTTAATTACCATAATCAAATATAAATCAATTTCATTACAGAACAAATTTAAGAGATCAATTCACGTTTCTTTTTCCATCACAACTTCTAACCTACAAATCTGATCCTTCACTGTTGAAGGAGACAAGAAAACAGAATGCATTTTTCTCTTTGCTAATGAAGCTTAATAATAATAATAATAATAATAATATGCACAACAAAAGAAAAGTATTCATATTGGTAATTTGGTACAAACATTTTAAATATAGTGCAAACGGATCAAAGGCAGTAAGAATCTGAATTTAGACACATTAATGAATAATATGAAATAATTCTCGTGCACAGAAGAGAGGCTATGCACAAACTACCTTAGTTGAAGAGAAAAGTGAGATGATTTTCAGAGAAAGAGAAAAGAAAAGAAAGATAGACATAGAAATATTGATGTGGAGGAAAGGTACACATTGCAAGCCACTGACAAATATTTGCAAGTTACAAATGTTTGTATCAATTTGAAATTATTGGTTATGTCAAGAGTAAAAAGAAACAAAAGGTTTTAAAATCTTTCTAAAAATCATATTGTGATACATGCATAAGATATTACTCAACCAGCTCTATGCTAAAATTCAGTGTTTCAAATATATTTCTAAGCAGAGCAAATAATTTGTAAACTAAACAATGTTGATGCATAAAAAAATTTGTTTAAAATGTATTTGAGCTTTCTTGTCACATCCTTAGAGAATGTTAAATCACATGATGTCTTTCTTTTTTTTCTTTTTTTTTAAACTTGCAGCTGAACGCCTAAAAGCTACAGGCTAGTTCTAACACAGAATATGCTCCTTTATGTCACAACCTTAAAAAAATGCACAGTTGCTACGGTGAATACATTGGTGCCGACATGGTATGTTTGGTTTATTACATGCATAGATGTAACGGAACACGGTGTAAATGGATAATTTTTAAAATCTCTTGAACTATCATCCAGTAGGACTAAACGAGACAGAATGCCTTAAAATAAGAATATATAGAGGATCCAACACCATTTTGTTTAAGGACAGGAGAGATAGAAAAAATAATATGGAAACATTTTGAGAATAGATTGACATACAAGCTGTTGTGTTTGATAATTGATGACATTTTTAAGTTAAATCATTTGTTTACTAATTCTCTCAGTGGTTTCTCTCTTGTTTTCTAGTTTTAAAAAATTGATAGATATAAAGTTTCCAATGTGCAAATTGAAATAAGCATTTGATAGGAAGAAGATATAAAGTTTTAGAAATAATGAAATGTAAGTAAAAATAATATAGTTTGCAAAAATATATACATGCTTTTGAAAAACATACAAGGGGAAATACAATAAGTGATAATAAACTTGATTGATTCAAATTTTCTTTCTCTCCTGTTCTATGCAATTTTGTTGTTCTGCTTTCCCCTTTGAATTTCTGTATTTCTATAAAGTTTTATGATAAAAGGCAATCTCTATTTTATATTATATATTCTATTAAATAATCTGGATATGCCTGAGCACTATCAAATATAACAAAGATTTTTGGGTCCCATATGTTATCTACACAAGAGTCATAACATTTTCCAAATGGTTCAGCACAAGGGTAGAGAGGTGGAGCTTTTTTTAGACTGCTGTTGCCTCCAGTATATTTGCCCACCAACACTTTGGCAATGAACATTTTGCGAGTGCAGCTTGTAGGTATAGAGGTTCGTGTTGAATGTGGTTCTCCACTCTGACAATAGAGTTGGAGGGAATTTGTGGCTGGCTGTGCCGGCATTATTTGTGCTGGAGCTGGTTGTTGTGTATGTGCTGGAGTTGGTTGCTGCTGCTGCTGCTGTTGCTGCTGCTGTGGTTGCTGCTGTTGTGGTTGCTGTTGTGGTTGTTGTTGTGGAGGTACCTTGACAACCAATTTGGACTGAGGATGGACAGCTGAACTGACTTTTGGAGCTGATGTTCCAGCTGGAAAGGGAACGACAAATCCCTTCCTTAGAAATATTTGTGGGCTCTGCTGTTGTGCTTGGTGATGGTGATGGTGGTGATGAGGATGGTGGTGATGGTGATGATGGTGGTGGTGGTGATGGTGGTGGAGATGGTGTGGAGGTTGCTGAGTTCCTTGCACATGTTGTTGGGGAGGTTGTGACTGGGATTGGGTCTGTTGGGAAGGAGATTGTCCTATCGCTGGCTGTTGTGAGGGCACTCTCCCAAAAACTAGTTTGGGCTGGGTATGAGGAGCCACATTCACCTTAGCAGTTGAAGCTCCAGCTTGAAATGGGCTAAGAAATTCATTCAAAGTTATCAGCTGTGTTGTTGATGTACTCACTTGTTGTAAGGTTGGTGCAGTCAGTGGTTGAGGCTGTAAAGACTGTGCCTGCTGCTGTTGAGGTAAAGCTAACTGAGACACTTGGCTTGGCATCTGGGCAGATGAGTGCAGTTGTTGCACAGCTTGCAACTGCAGCAATGGTTGCTGAGCTTTTTGTAACTGCTGAGATTGTAATGGGGCTTGCTGGAGTCGTTGTGCAGGCTGTGTCTGAAGTCGTTGTTGAATCTGTTGTAACAACTGCTGCTGTTGTTGTTGTTGCATCTTTTGCTGTGATTGTGATAAAGCTCCAAAGATCAATTTGGAGTGTGAATGAGAAGCCAAATGGCTTTTTGGATTGACTGTAGTTCCAGTTTGAAAAGGAACAACTAGAGGAATTTGCTGTGGAGTGCTGGTGGCCGGAACAGTTTGTAGTTGTTGATGAACCAGCTGTTTGTGTGGAGCTGATAATACCAAAGGGGACTGAAGAACGGTATTGTTTGCAGATACCGCAGGATTTAAATTGCATGTGGATGGGAAAGAGACACTAATGTTTTGTACTGAATAAGTAGATGGAGTTGGAGATGATGCCGAGGAAGAAGGGACATTTTGTGAGATGCCTACTGAGGAAGTATCCATCACATTAGATATGTTTTGTACATTTTGGTTCTTTTCATTGTCAGTAACAGGCATCATGACAATGGTTCCATACTTATTATTAATCCTGTGTGGTGTCACTCTGTTCACAGCAGTGTTAGGGGGACCGGTCGTTTTGATGGTCGGCAAGCATACACTTGATGCTGGGGCTGAAGCTCCTAGAATTGCTTGATTAACAAATGGATTAGTGCTAGAGCTAGCCATGATGCTTCCCTGGGCAGTGTAAGTAGTCACTGAACTTGTATAACCTGTCAGCTGTAGAGAAGCTGATGGGTTCATGGTTGGTATATTGATACTTGGACTAAACTTTACATAAGCATTCTTGCTGTAAGGATTGCAGTACACTTTTGTGGTCATGCTATTGGTGATGCCTCCTGAATGAACACGAGTTGCCGGGATTGGGCGCTGACGCTTGATCCTAATATCATCAGTAAATTGATGGGAATAAGATGCATCACCAGCAAAATAGGAACCTGGGGAAAAATAAGAGAATATTATTAGTTTTAATAAAAAGATGATATATTAATTATACATATAATAATCTGCTTGTCAATATCAGTTGCCTCAATTCCTGATCACTGACAATCATTTTCTTCCAGATTTTCAATAAACATACAAAATCAATGCCAAGATCTTTTGATAAAAAAAAAAAAAAATTCAATTTATTGGTAAGATAAAATTTCACTTTTAAATACTACTGATGATTTTCATTCATTCAGAGTTAGAATATCATTCACTTTTGTACAAAGACCAACATTCATCAAATGTGGGATATTAGAAATTATTCTATGAAAGGTGATAAAACATATTTTTTGTACCATCTAGAAGTTAGTATTTTGCTTAATTATTTTAACAGAACATTGATAATTATTAAATGATCAACATTTTAAAATCTGCTCTATTTATTCACTTGTTAAATGTACAATGGAAATGTAATTACTTCCTATAAATGCTCTTTGTATTTCCAATGTAATCATTAACGTGAATGAAAGACTGGATTTGTTTAATATTTGTTATAAGCAACTACTCTAATAATTATTATAAATAATTAACCAATTGCAATAAATATGAAAATATTAAAAATAACCAAAAATAAATAATGTAATGTAATAAAGAACTGCAAAACATGTTTGGAATGTAAAAAGCCAAAGAATCAATTTTAAGGGAGCAATTTTTAATTAAAAGATGACAAAAAATGTTAGCAGTTCATGAAAAAAAATAAAATAAAATAAAATGAAACAAGAAAATTGCAAGAAAATATGTCAGAAAATCTTTAATTTCAACTAAATAATTTCTATTTCTATTTTTGTAATGGTTAAAACCCAAGAGATTTACAGTTTTTGTTCAGAATTGAGTGTTAATCTTTCTCTACTTTTTGGGGGTTAGGATCAGGATGGAGTTGCCATTCATGTTCAGTTAAATATTTATTATTTCATTTCAGCATATTGCACACATGGTCAATGTTAAATAAAAAACTTCTAAGACAAAATTTAAGCTTTGATTTGACCTTATGGATATTAATGAAAAAATAATATTAGCTATTGATGTATGGAAAAAAAAAATTTAAAAAAGCTTATGCCCTCATAAATTCTATCAAATTTTTTTAAAGAATTTTAAAACCTGCATAACTATCTATTGCTGAAGATGTTGGAAGAATGGTTGGTTCCTTTTACAGCTCCCTTAAATACTTGACTTTTCCTGCTACCCCCTACCTTTACAAAAATAAGATCAGGCCAAAAATGGAGTACTGTTGCCATATATGCCCAATCTTTTCAGTCTCAATTGAGTTCAAAAATGTCTCTGCATCCTTATAGGTGAGAAATTATTTTCCATCTTACAATCCACACAGATGAAACATTGCAAATCTCTCTCTGCTCTATTGCTATTTCCTTGAAAAGTGTTCAAACAAACTACTACTTCTACCACCAGTTCTAACCTTCATGGCTAAGACCCATCATGCCATGCACATTGTAGTGAACCAGCCTCATGCTCATCATATTCCACTGGTGAGATGTAAGTTTCACTCAAGCAGCTTCTTCCCATGAACTGCTGCTTTGTGGAACCAACTCTCAAGAGGAATGCTTCCCCAATCACTACATTCTTAACCTGTTCAAGTCTTGGGTCAACTATTATCTTCTCCATACATCTCCATAAACTATGCCTCTTACTCTACTTCGAATGGCTCTTGGGCCTTGTACATGGTAAACATCATTGTAAAAAATAAATAAATAAAAATAAATACAAAAATAAAACATTATGGTTCTAATATTATAGATGCAATATATACAATTCCTTTTCTATCTAAAAAGTTTGGGCTAATTAGTTCAATTTTCATGAGGCTTAACAAGAAAGACTAATTGCCTCTTCAAATTGACATTTAATAAGTTGAAACCAAGATCAAAACACATACATTTACAGATATATAGTTACTGAACAGGCTATATATATATATATATATATATATTACACACACACACACACTAGTGTTGGGACGATTAATTGGAATTGAGAATTGTAAATATCAGAACTTTTGGGGGTATCAGAATAGAAGAAGTTTTAACGTAATTTCTGATTCCCAAAACAGTTCTTTGGATTTACTTTTTGTTTAAAACTCAATTTTCCATTTCTGGTACCAATGATAAAAAGATATAAATATTTATTGATTTTGAACTATCAGTAAAATTAAAATCTATAGGTCAATTTTAACACCTAAGTATGATGTCAAATGTAAATTTATTTTACATGTGTTAAAAAATAAAAATAAAATGTGTAAGTTTCAACTCAGTTCTCAAACTTTCTAGAAAGTTCACTAGTTTAAAGTCTCTTTCATTTCAAAATAAAAAAAACTATTTCTTTTTAAACATTGTTAATTCACCCATTTAATTTTATAAATTATTAATTTAATAATTATACTTAAAAATTTTGTACTATAAACACCAAATGAATTCATGTTGTTGTTCTGTCAGGCTCTCTTTTAAGACAATTTTTATTATTTTTTTTTTAATTTATAAAAAAAAAAGAAAAATAAATGAATGTATGGAATTCCCACCAATGTCACATTTGATTTCTTTATATAAAAAATTGACCTTGTGTCACAAATTGTCCTCGTGATGAGGTAGTTAAATTAAATTTGTTTTTTATAGTTGTTTTAATCCATAAAATCATTTTTTCATCTCAGCTATTGAAAAGATTTATTTTTGTTTATAGCATACTACGTAAACAAAAATAAATCTTCTTTTCAATAAGTGAGGCTTAAAAAAGTAAACATTTTTATGAAACTTAAATTTCTTTATATGAAATTCATGTATTTCTTAAAATTTTATAGCTTTCAAAACAGATTTTCATCTTTATTTGCTTAAAAATATAAACAAACTTTTATTTGAAGTTTCCTGAAAAAAGTTTTTTTCACACAAAAGTTTATATTAAAAAACCTAACATTAATTTCCATTAAAAATTGAATTTTTATTTTACTAATATTTTTCTTTGGCATAATTGAACTTTCCTGTGTTAAATTATTATGGCATTTAAAATATTTTGAATTTTTTTTCTTGCTTATTCCTTATTGGATCCAAGTCTTATTAGAAGTGTATAAAAAAGTTAAAAAAGAGTATTTTTATCTGGCATGATTAAGCTATAGTTTTTTCCACTTTTAGCATGATTTGTTTTAGTATTTTTAAAATAAAACTTATAAAATTTCATCTTCTAATAATCTAACTAAAAAAAAAAAAAAAAAAAAAAAAAAATTATATATATATATATATATATATATATATATATATATATATATATTACCCCCACTCCTCTATATCACAGTAGACAGATATATCTCCGTTTCTCTTTCTCTTTCTTCCTTCCTTCCTTTCCCCCTACCTTTTTTAACCTATTTAAAACACAATTTATGTTAATTTTCGTTTTGTGCCTGGAAGAATTTTAAATCCATTTATTGTTGTAACTGTTTGGTCTGATGAAGTGAAATCAATATCTTGTTTCCACAAAATAAAATATTATTATGTTTTCCTGAAGTCAACTCTACTTTATTACTGTCTATACAGTTTCATTCTATCTTTATGTATGTCATTACAAAATTACACAAAAAAATGTTACTTTATGAGTGAAGATTAATAAATGACATTTATTAATTTTGATTTGAAATTTTCACTGTATAATATTCCCCAATGAATTAAGAGCAATGCAAAACATGGAGGCAATTATGTGGAAATCCACTTGTTTCAAAAAAAAATTTTTTTTTTCACCCTCAGGCTATGAACTTATTGATGTATTTTCATATTTTTTTTATATTTTATGTTTTCTATGCCACAAAAACAAATGTCTAATTATTTGATAGAGTTACAAAAAATAGGTTTTAACTTACATATATTAAAGTATAGTTAGGTTTATTTACAAATATCATAGTACCTATGTCAGGATCACTTGCATATAGACTAGCACTCCTGTCTAGAAACAAACTATCTGTATGCTCTGCCTATGACCTGTGTGTTTTATTTGTGCAATGAAGTTTATATATGGATACACATTTAGTTTTATGCGGGGAATTTTTTGCAATTTTTTCATAATATAAAAAGCTTTTTTTAATTTAGAATTTTATTCTGATATATATTATATTTTCTATCTATGGAAAGGCTCCAAATGTTCTAAATATAGTTTAGATTTTAATTACAATAACTGAAATTAAAACTACTTACCATGGCCATAAACTGTGCCATGTTTGCCACAGAGTCGCCAGTCAAATCCCTTGCGGCAAATAGGTTCTACAACTTTACTCTTTGTTCCATGGAATAATTGTCTTTCCTCAACATTCAGCCCATCATTTTCTTGCACCATTTCTCGCTTTTTTCTACAATTATAGAAAATTTATAAAATTTTTATAATTTTTTAAAAATTGAAATCTATTTTTTATTTGGAAATCTAAAAAGCTTAATTCTCAATACAGCTCCAAACTTCCATATTTTGCAAAAGATAGGACTGCTTTCAAGAAAAAAATATCAACTTGAGATTTGAATCAAAGATAAGTAAATAATCATACACACAACCTTTGTTTATTAACACTGAATGTAAAGATTTACATATTTTTTAATGATAAAACTATCATTAACAGCACCATATCTGAAATTGAAACCAAAATTTTTTTTTTTTTTTTTAAGCAAATCACCCTCAAGCAAGGTGGGAGTGCCACTAGCACAGAAGGGGTTACAGAGAGTGAGAGTAAGAGTAAAGAGGAGTGTTTGGGAAAAGGATAAAGAGGACAGGGATCAAGGTATCAGAAGATGTTGATTGACATTACATTTGAATATTTGAAGATTATAGCTATCAGGGGAGCAAATGATAGAAAAGGAATTCCACTGATTGGAGTAGAAGAGATGGCAACATTTAGCCATTTCGACAGTGAAATGGTGGGACTGATATGCCAACCTAGTAGCACGTTTAAATTCATGCAATTTGGAAACTAGTGAAAGTAGCTCGTCAGAGCAGTCACTATGAAAATACTGGTAGAAAAGACAGAGGGAAGCCACAGTACGTCTGTGAGAAAGTAACTGTAGAGTGGATAATTATTAATTTCTTAATGACATTCTTGAGAAGAAAAGAACTAGGTACACAACATTTTCAATAAATTCAACAAGGAATAAACATAAAACTTTCCAATTTAACTATTAAAGTAGCAGCTTACTGAAATTTTTCTAAGTTTCAAAACTATTTTTTTATCTGGAACAAAAGTTGTAATTTTATTGGAGGAAGAAGGAAATATGCAAGATCCTCAGTTTTGGTGTGGTTTGTTTTTCATAATCTTTTGGCAGGTTGATACTCCAATTGTTCAATCAAATTTATAAATGGAGCCTTGTTTGCTTGGTTCATTGTCAGTGTTCATTTTGAGGATTCATACAGTCCCACTGTGTTCTTTGTGATAATTTTGTGGAAATAAATGAGTCAGCAAAATATAACATGACAATGGAGCATAAGCCCACAGACTAGATAAGTAAAACCATTGAATATTTATAACTTTTCTCAAAATCTTATACTCCCACCCCTGAAAAAAAACAAAAAAAAAACAACAAACACACTTATATCAGATACAAGAATCTTTATCTTTTTGACAGTCACATCGTAAGTCTGTTGTTTTTAACCCTAATTTACTTACATATTCATTAGTTACACTAGCATCATTATTGTGCATAAAGTTATTTTATTCTTTGAACTCCACTGTCATCTTAAAACATGTCTGATAATTGGCCTTGAGGAATTTAATATAGGTGGAAGAAGTCATTTAATGATATAATCTGTCATTGAACAATTTTTTTATCTTGCCATAATTGCTTAAACATACTTTATGGCTCATATCAAATGGCAATGAAGCAATATCACCAAATTGAGTACCATTTGTTTATGGTTGTTATTAGACACAACTGTAGATGTCACTGTTGACAAATATTTATCAGAATTAATTTCAAATACACACAATCACTAACATATTTGAACAAATGTAACTTGCATGAAATATTGAAACATACTAGAGATACAGAGAAAATCCATGCTACTCATAGAATATAGATGTCAGATCCAAGCACTAGTAGAAAAGACTAACAAACATTTACCTGAATAAAAAAAAAAAAAAATTGAGTTTTCACAGCAAACAAGTTTTACTTTAGTGAGCATTTTGCTTTCAAATAATGGTTAACACATTTGTTGAGTAAACTATATAATAAATTGATACTCAGTGGAAGCCTGACATTGTGAAGCTTTATGACTGAACTAAACTTTGTAAACAGCTCTAATTTTCAGCATATAACTTTTCAGTGTCTAATGATTATTAGTAAGCTAATCTATCAGACTAGGAGTTTGATCCTCACTGGGCGTCCTACTTATAGACTTGTGACAAAGCTAAGCTTAATAAATGCCTATAAAAAGGACAGACTGGAATTTTAAAAAGGGAGTAAAAATCACAAGATCTAAAATTTCTGGTGTCAGAAATTAATTTGGAAATACTACAAACAACATATTTAAGTTTAGTATCTATAATGCATTTTTATAAGTCAACTGCAAAATGAAATTTGACAAATTTAAAATATATGTTTATATTATTATTGGTAGTAAAAATTTACAGGTTCAACTGAAAAAAATAATTTAGTCATTTTGTGGTTATGATTAAAACAAAATCTGTACTTGCCTAAGTTTCAATCTAATTAAGCATAATTGAAAAAATACATGGTAGCTTACAAATAATTCAATTCAATTCTGCTTCTTTTGTCTTGGTCTATATAACACAATGTTAATTATATTGCATTTTATTTAATGTAAAAAAACACTCATATGCAGGGTCAAACTATTCAGTTCAATGTCATTTTACAAAACCAAATAGTTTTAATGAGGTCCCAACTATCCTAACAACTTATATTCTAATTAGTAAATGTTCAACAGGCCCAAGTGAAATATTTTCCACTGGTAACCAACACAAGGAACCTGTTTACAGCAATTTCTTTGGTTGTCAAATAAAAAGGTCCTCATTTCTGCCTAGCAGGACCATGTGTGCTTGTATATCTACTTCAGCTAGAGAACTTGTGATGATCCATTTAAAACAAAATCAAATAGGACTGTCATGACCTGCCTGACTCTTGACCCTGTATATTTAGACAGAAAAGCTGACAAGTACAGAATGAAAAGGTCTGATTTGAAGAGGTTGCTGGATGAGTAATCTAATCCTTGTAGATATACCTATATATTTAAGAAAAAAAAAAAAGAAAAGGTATTTATACAAAATTGATGCAGCTTACAGGTTTAGTTACCTTCCAAGTCACTAGTTCAATTACTTTTCTCACTTGTGGCTATGCATACAAATATCTCTTCTACTCTCAGTATTCCATTTAAGGCAGTTGTATGGCTTGTTACAAAAAAAAAAAAAAAAATAAAAAAAATAAAAAATATCTCTAGTTTACTTCTAATGGTGGGTAATTAAAATTGAACGACAAATTGGAAAAATGCTTTAAACACAGATTTTCTTCTGACATTTGAAATATATATCTGCTCACTTTCGTATCCTAACATAAATAAAGCAATTTGTAAAGAAAGGGATGGATTTTTAATATGAGTATCCATTAAAAAATAATGTTTAAATAATAAAAATCTGTAGGATTAATAAATAAAATGTGAAACTATTTACACTCTTCAACTTTGCTTGGTTATCAATGCACTCTTTAGCCAAGAGGTCAAAGTATGTCCAATCTACTGAGTTTCCCCTAGGGTAACACAAGTTCAAATACTGCTGGATAGTGCATATTTTTATCAAATAAGATTTCTTGAATATTCAAAGCCAGTAGAGGAAAATAAATAAATGTACTGTTTAATAAATAAATGGAGCACCTACTCAAATCCACTTAAAATAAAGTTCACACACACACACACACACACACATATATATATAAAAACACATACACACACACACGACTGTTGAAATAAATTTATAACCAATTATATGATGACCTATTAAGTCTTTTCCTTATTATTTATTTACTTATATTGCTCTGTATATAAATTTATACGTTGAGCTCTCATGGAGTTAACTTTTTAATATTTTTATATTAAAAAGTCCTCATTGGAATAATCCGTTACCACCTACAGATTTGGTATTTACATATCTCCAAATGAGAGAAAGAACAGATGAAGTAAAATTCTGCTGTTCATAGCATTTATGTTTTAAAAAAATGCTCAATACAAAGTAGAGCAATATATTATCATTATTTTAGATATCAGAACATAAATATGTTGAAACTGCTACACAATAGCTTTCGTGTTTCTGTACTACATTGTACCTCTTCAGGCAAGTGGTAAGTGACTGGTGATTAAATAATTTTCAAAAATTTCAAAAGCAAAATGTTACCTCTTTGCTGAAAGATAAAGGGGGGAGGTAAGAAAACACATGGTCAGAATTAAAAAGAGACTTCCACAAGACTATTTTTAATTGTCAGATTTTAATGAAACTTTCAGCTCTTATTCACAAATGAATGATTTTTTTTTTTTTAAGAAAATCTTGATTACCTCTCATTCACTTTAATTTTATGCTTAATGTATTAAAAGCAGAACTCCTTGGAGAATTTAAATCAATTTCTTTTTATAAAACAGTTACCAAAAATCTGCTCTGAATTGTAAAATAAAAAATGCAATAAAACTAAGGCATTATCTAATCAGAAAAGCTTTTAATTGCATTTAAGAATAAAATATATTATTGTCTTAAGAAAATTTTTTTTCGATAAATAATGGATCTAACCAACACCTTTATCAACTGTGCCATGTGTCCTTGAGGATCTAACCAATGCCTTCTTTATCCACTGTGCCATGTGTCCTCAAGGACACATGGCACAGTGGATAAAGGCGTTAGTCAGATCCAGTGACAGGACCCAAAGAGTGTGAGTTCAATACCCGGTTAAGGCAATGGAGAATTTGGGGAGGGGAATTAACAGGAGATAACTGACATCATTAAACATGGCATGTGGAACTAGAACAGTCTACCCCAGTGAGTGAAATAAAGGGTTCAGTTCGACATCACAACCACCTGAAGGCCAAAGTGTACAACAGCCGAAACATTGTAATAAATATGGCGACAAAGATGAGGACAATAGTCCAAATAATGTAAATAGTGTCCTTCCAGTCAATTTAAATTAGTTTTGAAATAGAACAAAGTATTTTGCTTACTGGAAATATTAAATTTAATCTAAAACTAAAATAAAAGGCTTCAAAAAATATTTTTTCATTTTTAAACATTCATTTTAAACCTTAGATATTGCAAATCTGTGGGGGCACCTATATATTACACACACACACACACACGTTTTTATGTCCAATGTTACAATTCCTTTCTCACATACTTTCTGAGAAAATAGATGAATGGATCTATAGTTTTCCTAAAAAAATACCAATTTATATTTTGTTTTGTTCTTCAAATTGATGCTGAAAGTTCTCAGGCCATTTAATATGTCCTTTGAAAAAAAAAATCTGACATTTGGTCATTTGGTTGGGTTTTAGGAAATGTGTTTAGCCGAAAACCAAACAGGTTTTCCTCAAAAGAAAAAAGGTAGCAAGTGACTGAAATTGTTTGCTAGTCTCCTGGAAAAAAAAATGCACAGTTGTATGTTAATAGCACATTTCTGTAAGTTAATGAAAAAAGAAATTATCTAGTGCTGATCATTCAATAAATTTTGTTTACATATACAAAACTTAATTAATGGTTGCAGAAATGATTTATAAAAAACATGAAACAAGTATCAGAGAGTGTAAGTAAATTATGCTTGACAAAAGATTATCCTGTTAGAGAAAAACTCACTTCACAATATTTTTCATGTCAATATTTCAGAAGATTCCACAGCTTTTATTTCTCACAAACAGTAGTGATATTTTGAGTTTTCTATTTTATTCTGTTTGTTTTGAGAGAACAGTGTTGATTTTGCTTTCATGTGAAATGGGATATTGACATGTGTTCTGGATGACAATTTCCTTTACATTTTTTTTTGTTACTTATCTACATAATCAAAAAATTAAGAGAAAATGTGGTCAGATGTTAAAGACTTGCAAAAACAAAGCTGATTTGGAAAATGTTGAACATCTTATTAAATAGGCCAGCAAGCACAAAGACCTTTAACTCTGGTTTGTTTATTGAGGAATTTCAAATTATTTGTCAGCAATCTCAATTGCTGATGACAAATCAAAGCTGTATTAAAATTTGCCAGTGTCCAACTCATCGCCAGTTAATATTAGTACAGAAAATAGTGTCAAGAGAATTACTACAAATCAAGAATTAAACTTTATAATCTCCAATCCACTAAAAGAAAAGCTTGAAAAATACTATTCAAATGTAAAAAAAAATTAAAATGGCAAATTTATATGAAATGAGGATTCATTCTATTTTATGAACAGGAAAAAAATGTGTTTGAATTCAGAATTTTGTTGGTGAATGGCTGTAGGCATGTATGAAACTGGAATTCATTTGGGTAAAAAAAAAAAAAAAAGAAAAAAATAGTGACTTACAAAAATAGGAAGTGATTTCTTCTTTGGAATTATGAGAAACATTTGCTATAATAGAAGTGGGCAATTTTAGAGAGTATAAATTAGTTTTTGCTTTATTTTTATGTTCGAAGATTAGAATTCTAGGTTGAAATGAAATTTGAGTTCCAATGCAGAAATGGATTGAAAAACAATGTTACTTTTCATTAAATTGTTGAAAATGATAAAAAGGGCTTATAAAATTTTAAACATCAATACCTTTTATTTACAAAATTTTTAAAGTATGTATTGTGATACATGTGAAAAAGTTGTTTTATTTCAATAATTTTTGGTAACAAATATGAAAAGTTAGCTGACTGTAAATATAACTGTAGTGAATAACAACTGTAGACATTTTCTAGATAAAATAAAAAATAATATAAATAACAAACTTGTACATTTCAGTGACTACAATCCTTCAATGTCAACAGTTATTTCATATTTCTAATTAAAACTGGTTTATTCTCTTTTGGTAATTTCACAACAAATATATAAGTTTGATACGTTATCATCAAATGACTAATAAAACTAAAATTTATTAAATCTTGAGTCAATTTTTCTGTTTATATCAAAATATATTCAGCTGTTTAAATTTCTTTATTGAATTTATTAATTTTTTTTGACTACTTTCATTTTATTTCTATTGCTTTTATCAAAATTCTTATTCTATGGCTGTTAAATAGTCCGGGAGAGGAATGAGCTCATTGGAAATTTATTATTTCCAATCCAAACTATATAAAAAAAAAAAAAAAAAAAAAAAAATCAATTGTTTCTAATTTCAAAAGAAGACATTATAAAATAATCATTTTAAAAAATACAATGCACCCATATACATATACTTAATGAGACAACTTTTATCATAAAAAATCAAAAGAAAATAGACATATACACCCAATCATAAGAGTAAATAAATATGTCATTTTTCTACATAAAAAAAAAAAACATGTAGCTTCTGATTTAATTCACAATATTCTTGAAAACTGAGAACATTCTACCTGCTTATCCCTAAAACTTATATAAATTAAATCTTGATATAAATTGATGTATTAAAATTTAAAAAATTTTCTTATTGCTTTCAATAGTGCTGTCCAATTACATCTGATTTTCTTTGAGAGGACCATTTTAAAAAGTAAATTTCATATATATATATATATATATATATATATATATATATATATATATATATATATATGATAATTTTTAAAACAGGGATCATAATTTATTCCTAAAATAAGATACAATAATATCACACTAAATAAGGTCTCTTTCAAGTGACTGATCTTCAGAAATTGATATTGTAGGTATAAAACTAAATTGTTGAAAAGAAAAATTTTTTTTCAACAACCAAATTTTATAATAGCAAGGGGGTGTGTGGGGTGCATGTGTGTAGAAATTAAATATTTTCTCTTAATAGACATGCCATCATCGAGAATTGTGGAAAATATGTTGCTGCCATATTTTCCGCAATTGTCAATGATGGCATGTCTATGTGCTGGTTTATCGTGATATGAAAAAATAACTCACCCATCTCCACCCTCTCAGCTTACTTTTCTATTTAGCATAGATCTGACATTTTATTGGTTAATCAAGACATACCCACAAGTCTATTTTTAATTCTGACCTTATGTTCCGCAACCTTTAACTTTCGAAAAAGGGTAACATTTTGTTTTAAAATTTCCTTAAAAATCATTTAATCACCAGTTAGTTACCATCGCCTGAAGAAGTATAATCATAGTATTGAAACATGAAAGCTTTTATGTAGCAATTTCAAAATGTTTTTATTATAATCTCTTATAATAAAAATATATATTATTGTATTGAGCACGTTTTTAAAAGTAAATGGTACGAACAGTGGATTTTTACTCCATCTGTTCTTTCTCTCATTTGGATGGATAAATAAATTAAAATAGGGCTCAGACACAAAATTATGTAACTACGTTCCAAAAGCTGATATCTGAAAGCACATTGGGAACTTTCTTGAAGTCTTCCTCAAAATAATTCAAAATTATAGTAAGGGGAGATAAATATTAACACAACGTATTTATTGATAAATCTTAAAACTATTTTTCAAGTTGAATTATTTTGAGGAATGAATTTACTTCTGTAGTCCAACATGGTCATTTATAGTTAGTAAATCATTTCAATTTATCAGTTCAATTTCTATCATCATTAAGTAACTTCTTTATTGCTAAACAAGTTCCGATTCAACCTGTGAGTTTGTTTTCACAGCATAATGCCAACACATGTCCAAGTTTTCTACAAAATCCATTTAATAAAACCTCTATAAAGCTAATTAATTTAGATTTGAATTAGTAAATGCTTGCAGTAAAAGAATAAGCTCAAATATTTGCAACTTATGAAAACTGAGTCCTAGAGTTGCCAAAGATGTACATATATATAGAACTGTAGTCATATGCTGAATCATCTTCTGTGGAATTGTCAGGTCATGTTTGTGCATATATGTGCACAAGAATGACTAAGTGAAAATGATATTTATTTTTCTGGATGGACATTTGCACAAAATAACCACAGTAACAGACGTTGCTTCATATTACTTATTAATAATCTCTTAATCACAAATCTAATGTGCAGGATTCTTCTTCATAGTTTTTTTTCTTTTTTTCTAAAAAGACAAAATAGCAAACCAAAAATTATCTGATTCTGTACAAAGACTATTACTGTAATGAGAAATAGCAAACATTTGAAGATATAACATGTATAGTTTAAGTATTTTAAAAATATAAGCATGAAATTAAATTGTATATACTGATTGACCCTTGTAAATCTATAAGTCCATTGTCTGACAGTTATTAGCTGAATTTTGATCTTTGAGCTATCTAATTAATGGGGAAATCTTAAGTGCACCAACAAAGATTATAGGGCAAAATATTTGTTGTGTAAATAAATACATTTTTCATCATTAATACTTCCATCTTCATTTCAGTTGTTTTTTTATAGCAAAGTCTGTATCACCAATGCACAATCTTTATTTCCATTTCATACACATTGAATAACAATAACAGGACAATGATCTTTGAGTTGCTATAAAAATTAGGATAAAATAAATACTAGTCAAAAATTAATAATGACTAACATCTAAAAAATTGAGAATATTACAAATTTAATGTTTTATCCTGACAAAATACTTTTTATAGCAATAAAATACTGGCACCCTACCAATTCACTTATGTAGTAAGAATTTGATTCTCACCAAATCCCCATGACTGGATTGTTACTAGACTAAGCCAAATTAATAACTAACCAATGTATCAGCACTCCTATCATGATGTTAAATAAGAGAAAGTCACAAAATCTTGTCAAATATATTAGGCCTGTTGAACATAGGCCCAAATTTAAAGTTTGCATTTTGAGTATGAACTAAAATTTGGTCATTGTATAGAGTTTTTCCCTGAATGTAGGATTTTAGATGAAATTTATTTTCATTTAATGAATTTTTTTAATCAGCACTACAGTCAATGTTTTTATTAATTTATTTCAAAAGTAAAAAATGGAAAAAGAGAAGAAAACTTTTAATTTTAAGTTAATATTTTTCTTAAAGGTTTAATAGTGAAAGTCTTATGCTATAGAAAGCAGAGATAAAAATACTTACAAACAATAATACTTCCAAAGAATAGGATTTTGGATCCGAGAGATTCGTACAATTTCTGTTGCTGGATAATGCATTGTGGAGAGAAACATACCAGACACTGTTGCATATTCTTGAGAATCAGTATCCAGAACAAATAATTGATTGCTCTGTTCAAGGGAGAGAAGAAGAAAAAAATAAAGCAATTCATTTCTGTTCATTTAGGAAAGATAAAAATGCATAAGAAATTACTCCCAATAAAAATATTTTAATCAAAAAGAAAAAAAGTGTAACTAATAAATAAAATGGCATTTTCGACGTTTGTTATTTAGTAATAATTAACAAGCTAGGCTTACGAGACAGGTAAAGATAAATGAATATTAACAAAAAAATAAATAAAAGTATTTATTAAAAAAGTGCCATCTCAGTACAACATTTAACTATTCTTTCTTAATTCATTTTGTTACATAAGCATTTCTGGGGGGGAAATGTCTTCATCAGTATTAAAATGTTTCTCCAATATTTTTTTAAATTGCTAAAATTTTTGTATCCATCTTAAAACTAGACTATTCACACAAATAGAACAAAAAACAAAACAATAACTTTACAAAGAGTTTAATGAGATAAATGACAAATTAAAAACTAAAAGCAATACTGAAAGCAGCCAAATTCAAAGCAAACTATGAAATCATCATAAAAAAAAAAAAAAAAAAAAAGGACAAACTCATACATACACCAAAATTTAGCCAAAAACTGAACAACATATGCAAAGGGAAAATATGCTTATCAAATTCAAACAACTTTATCAAGTATTTCTAGTACAAACTGAGTGAACAACAAAACAACAACTCCATATAAAAAAAAAAAAAAAAAAAAAATAAAATAACAAATAGAAATGACATCCTCTGCCAAAAACTGCAAACTCTACAAACCAAATATAAGTACACGCAAATTTATAAATTCTACTAAAAGCCAAAAGCATAAAAACTGAAACAACTACCATAGGTAAAACTTACCACTAACAAAGGCATTAATAAACACAGCAAAATAAGTGTGTCAAAATGAAAATATTACAGTAAGATTTAACAACAAAAACATCTACATCGTGCAATGGATAAATTATCGTCTAAATTATACAAAAATGAAAATAACACTGACATCTCATTTTAACAGATATCTTTACCAAAATTACACAAAGATATCTTGAAATACTAAAGAGTAAATTTATTCAATAGAATTGCCATTGACCACCAGATGACTTTGGAATCTCCTGCATCTCTTCTGGACAGTCTCCTGTTGGTGAATGCTGCCATAATCCTTGTCTTCAGTTCATCTTTGGTGTTACAAGAAGTTTTGTTGGCCTCTTGTTCAACTGCACTCCACACATAATAATCAAGGGGATTGCAGTCTGGGGAGTTAGATGGCCAGATGTAAGATGTAATGTGGTTGCAGAAATTGTCTGATATCCATGACTGGGCTCTCCTGCTTTTGTGGCATTGTGCAGAGTCCTGTTGCCAGACAGGGAATTCCAGCAGTCACCCTCAGCACTACCTCCTCAAGGCTCATGATGTAGGCCTCCATGTTGAGTCTGAGGACATCACCAACAAATTTGGGAGCTCTTTTGTTATCAGAACAGAGTGAGTTTTCCACGCTGGCATACCTTCATAATCAACATTAGACTCGTCCAACTCTTTCTGAATCCTCTGCAGTCTCAGATTGACACCTAAACATTCTGAAATGTTCATATTGGAGCTTCCGGCATGAATACCAAGCAGTACAGCATACGGTTCCCAAATTTCGGGCGGAGTGAATTGTGACATGGTGCTTTTTTTCTCTCACAGACTGTGCCCAACTGATCATACTATGCTGTGAAGTCAACAAAGTAAAAAAAAAAAACAAACAAAACAGAACCTTGCACATGTACAAAATTAAAAATATAAAATGGAGACAATTTCCCCATTGTCATACTAAATTAAAAAAAACTACAAATCAAAAGTTATAATCATCTTAAAATGATAAAACAGGATTTAAAAAACTACAGAAATCCTACCAAGAATCTATTCTTAAAATACATAAACTTATTACTTCTAATAATGCAGAAATAGGATCCTTTAAACTTAGAAAAATCCTTGGCAAATACAAAAAAGAAAAATGGAAACTTACAAATCGAAACATACTAAATATATTACACAATAAATGAATGAAAAAAAAAAAAAAAAAAAATAAAAAAAAAAAGGCACAGCACCACAGACTGACATGTGAAGATGCAATACTTAATATGTCATGCCACCCAACCAACATGTGAAGACAGAAATTTAAAGCCACTAAAGAAATACAATGCATATTTATAAATACAATTATTAACCTACAAAAATCTTTGATACTGTCTTACAAAAGACAAGAGTACAAAAAGCACTGGACAATTAATGTTCAAAGTCTCCCCAGAAACTAAAAAATGGTCGGAAGTTTAGAAAAATAAAAAATTATAAAGATCTTTCTTTATTTTTCAACCAAATCTGCACAAATGGACAAGTACTTCTTAAATGCACCATATATATGTATATTTTGAATTATTTAGGTTCTGTATGTTTAATGAGAAACAACTTCAATGCAAACAACTGATGAAGTACTTACAAACTTTTGATCCATTTCAACCCAGTTTTCTGGTATACTGTCATAACTGTCATAGCTGACTGCTAACCGTTTACGAGGTCGTTCCATTTCTCCAGAGGTCACTTCATTATCAGGTCCAGCAGAAGCATCACTGGTTGAATATGACTTCATCAACATATTTGTTATAAAATCTACATAATACTGTTCAAGAACCTCTTCAAGGATGTCTACAATCATTGCAGGTAGACAACGCTTTAATTCATCTGGCAAAACAAAATAGTGTTTATCAGAAAATATTGTACTTGATTTTAATAATTCATAAAACAGAAAGACAGTAATTTGAATAGCAAAAAGTATTAAAAATGTAGTGCAGACTAAGAAAATACAAATTCATGTCTGAAGATCAATTAGAGTTAATAGCATAGTAAATGTATCAGGAGGAGCAAATTAAAACAAAACTATAATCTAATCAAAGCAGAGATTCAAATAAATTGCTGATACCAGTTTTATGGTTTGCTAATTTTTACTGTTGAAAAATATTTTGATTCATAGAAGAGGTATTTAGACTTTCCTAAAAATTAACATAAACTGCTTTTCTGTATAAATCATCTTTCTGATCATTATATATATATATATATATACACACACACACACACACACACACAACAATAAAATAATTATTGTTAGCAAGAGTAACTAATTATTAACCATTTGTTTGTTTACCTTAAAGTCAATCACTCACATTGTACCAAAAGGACATTTTGTGTTTAAGAAAGCCAAAGGTTCTCTAAACCGTATCAGTTTTATTCATAACAACATTAACAGATTTGAATTCAACATTTGTTTTGATTATTAATAAATAGAAACTATAAAAAATGAAATGCATTTTAACAAATAAAGAGATTAAATTCAAATGATTAATTTAATTTATACACCTAGTTTGAATTGTTCTTCTAAATGAATGAGTTTTAATAAATCTCATTAAGAATTTCACAATAGACTGTTCAACCCATTGACCTCTGAATTACCTACTTAGTCATGTATATAATCTGATCATAATCCTTAATTTCATAAGATCCAGAGCTGCTAAATTTAAATTTGTTATTTTTATCTCAGACAATCTGGAAGTATTTCTCAGAGAATATAAATTTTTTTAATCATTTGAAAATGAACTAAGGAAAACAACAAATTTTTTGGTTCTAGCTATCAAAATACACGCACCCTGACAATTTCAAACTTGTCAAATTTTTCTATTTTCAATCAAAATGTCAGATATCATATAAACACTACTGAATTCTATGTATGTAGTAAAAAGATGGTAATTTTTGTTGCAATAAAAAATAAAAATTAAACCAAGATTTCATCCTACTTACAAAGTATATTGTTAAAATAAGCTTTATACAGTTTAAGAGGACATGCAATTAATAATATCCTATTTAATCAAACAGAACTAATGAAAACAGACTCACATTGCAGAGAGAATTTTAATGATTGGTAATTATTTAAGATTTTAAGTCAATGAATGTCAAAACAATGACAAATTATTGAATAAAAAATATTCTGTAGTATGGATGGTAGAATCTAAACAATCTACCGTCACAGACTGAATAAAGAGCTTGATTCATAATTCTCAGATCAGCAATTTATAACAGGTACCTGAAGAAAATGGGAAGCTGGAACATTGTAACTATAGCAACCAAGATGATAACACCAATTTTAATACATTAGTGTATAATCATAATTCCTCATCTCAAAATTTTTTGAAAGTTACGCATTTAAAATAGGTAAAAAAAAAAAAAAAAAAAAAAAAAAAAAAAAATTGCTATATAAATTTCTATCCTCAATGTAATCATTGACTTTTCTTGAAATATTCAAATTGATGCCTAATTTTTTTTTCTCCAATTGCTTAAATGAAAAAATTTAAATGTCCAAAATGAAAAATCAGTCTTTAAATGTAAAGAAACACCTTTATAAAATTCTTTATATAATTAGTATATAAAAGGTGCTGGGCAACAAAGTATGAAATGACTTCTTCAGTAAAGAAGAAAATTAAGAGAAAAAAAATTAAGATTTGAGAGATGTATGAAATGTCCAGCAAGACATGGCAAATGCTGTGTAACTTAACTGACGAACAGACTTTGAACTCTTATTAATTTTTATTTCCTTTTAGAAGAACAGCATAAATAAATAAGCAAAGTTAAACAAATTCTTAAATCTTTTACAATGCATTTTGTTTGGAGGAAGGCCATTTTTCATGAACAATTGTACAAAATAAATCAATAGCTATAGCTCTTTAATACTTACGCTTTGAATAAAAATTATTGCATCCACTTTCTAGGCACTTCACTGATCTCTGAAAATAGATAAGACAATCATAACTAATAATTCTTTTTATTTCTTTCTTAAGTTAGTATATAAGATTTGTTTTCTATTTACTTTTGCTTTGTTTCTGTGATAGTTCAAGAAAAATGTTTTATTTGTAGAATATAAATATCAAACATTTTGTAAAGAAAATTAGGGACTTTCTGCAAACATTTTTAAATATAAGTAATATTTATGACTTAAATCCAGCAATAATTACTGATGATTCACTGCATTCATTAAGCAAGGTTACTTTATCTAATTTTGGGGTTATTTAGTTTTCTGCATAGATATTATATAAATTATTAGTTTTTTTTATTCACTGGACCAAAAACAAGTTTGCTATATATTTATCTATAAACATTACAGGATTCTAAGTATTTATTTTTGACAGGATTTAATTTTCAAACCTTCACCAAAACAATGGAATGTCAAAAATAACATTTTTTTGATATTTTCAAAGAAGATATTGCTTTGACAAAGTAACAGTGATCTAATGAAAAATTGGGAAAGTATTCTTAAAAAGTTGAACTTGAGAAAAACCAAAAATCTATCTGTAGCTATCTAACCAATGTATGCCTACTGTATTCAAGTGCACATATACATATATAGTATTATTCTTTATATAATTACGTGTATCTTCTGTGGAGTTGCTACTATAAGATCCATGCACGCTATAGTATGCAATCAACAGGCAGATGACCAAACGATTGCATACATGAAAGTTATAGTAGTGGCTGACAAAAATAAACATATTTATATAAGGAATAATATCCTAGCTCTGACATTAGATTTTGATCACTCTTTTCTTTACTATATCTGTCCTTTCTATAGTGGGTTAATTTATAAAAGTATATATATATATATATATATATATATATATATATATATATATATATATATATATATATATATATATATATATATATAGAGAGATACTCCTAATCTATTTTAATTTCCTTTGACTATCAGAGAGTTCAAGTAATTTTCAACACAAAAAATAATTAAAATGGTAAATCTTTCAGTGCTATAATAGATAAAATATTTTATTTCATATAAAGTAGGAAACTGCTTGTCAAAGTGATGCAGTGTTATTAAGTTACAGACTAAATATTTTCTGTTCATGTATACACAATGACTTTAGTTTCAGTACTAAACCTGAACAAACAGATTAATATGGTCACATATTCTATTTGTGAATGATAAAAAACTTACAATGAGGGATGACAACTTATGAAAGATATTCAAAAAAAATTAAAATGCAAAACTTTCATAAGATGTAGGAAATTGAAGACATCCTATATCTGAAGAGACTTGTCTTGTAAGGGATAATTTATTTTCTACCCTGCAACTTCTTTCTTACAACATCACATGCCTGTCACTAGTCTATCACTATTTCTATGGCAAATGTTCAGAAGAGCTCCATTCTTCAATTCTACCAGTCCAAACCTTTATTGCTAAGATACACCAGGCTACTTCTATGGAATCAAAACATGTTCTAAATGCAAGGAAGTTCTCCTCTGACAGATTCTGCCTGACTCAAGAACTGCCATTTTTTTAGAACTGACTTCTATGTGGATGCTTCCCAGAATATTGCAACCCTGTGTTAGTCACATGGGGTGTTTTGTTACCCAACAATTGTTTTAAGTACTCATAATTCCAGTTTGGCAAATTGTTTCTTTTGCTCTCTCTCACTAATCTCCTGAAATCTGTGGTGACTAACACAGGATTAACCTCTTCAAATCAAGAGTCAATTGTTATCTATCCTTCTTATCCTCATCTCTGCTTCCTACTACCTTCACTTCCATTCATATCACACACTTCATTCATCATTACCATTTCAACTGTAAATCTACCTTTAGTGGCACTTAATATCTTTTTTTTAATATTAAATATCAATGATATCTAGTATTAAAAAAAAATTACTATTTTACTTGAAAACTGAAGGAAGAGATTGTATTGTTAATCAAGAATGGAAGTTTATTAAAATGGATTTACTTTGTTTAGTTAAACTAAGAAATAGTTTACTCACCTCTAAGCATCTTCTACTAAGAACAGCTTTCACTTTTTCTTCTAAACATCCCCTACAGGTAAAATGATGGTCAACACAAGAAGAGCCTTCATTTTCCTTGATGACAACCTTGCATGCTACACAGGTTCCTTGCTTTATTTCCCTGGAGGAATTATCCTCAACCATCATAGAAGTTGGAATCCAAGATTGTGACGCGATTTGGTGTTTCTTTCCAGATGAATTTGTATCAATTCCCGAAGAAGTTTCAGTTGTATTCTCTTGAGGTGAAGAGTCAGAAGTTGTGTGGCAAAATTTACCTTTCACTTTTTGGCATATTGCTACAGAATGTTCATCAATGCCATCTTTCCCTTTCATACAATGATAAATTAAACCTGAAGACTGTGTAGAATCAGAACAGCAGGGATCACATTTAGGTGACAGAAGAGATGTAGATTGATTACAAGAAGCAAGCGAAACAGCATTATCAGTTTCTGCTTCATGGATTTGTAAGCTCCCAGGTTTCTGCACCTCACAGTTTTTATCCGAGATAATTGATTCAGTAACATTCCATTTACACATTTCGGACGTTTTAGGCAAGACATTTTCTTCCTTTTTCATTATCACTTTTCTTTCATTGTTAGTTATAAAGTCTGTTCTGTAATCCATACCTGAGTGTGGAGTTTCTTCTTTATTAGGCAAGCATTTATCACAAACATTCAATTCATGATTGCAGGACTCACTGTCATTTTCCATTGGAGTCTCAATTCTTGTAGAAACATCTACAACCATAACTGGTTTTGATGGTGTTTTACCGTGATCTTCTACTGAGAGTGAAAGACTGAAGTTATTACTGATACTGAGTGAGCCTAAAGAGTCTCCGGGCTTTATGACCAATTGGTCATCAGTATCACCATTACAATGATAAATTTGATTTGAACGGGAACAAAAATCTGCAAGCTTAATAGAAGAGATTGTGCTGATATCTTGTACATCGTCAGTGTCTTCATCCATTTCACAATGTTGCTCTTCATTAATATGGACAACTTTGGTATGATCTGTTTCTTCATCTGGAGAATTAGTACAATCAATGGTGATTGGCACAGGTGAAGATTTGTACTGAGAAACAAAAATAACATCACCATCATTTGTATCGTCTAAGCCTTCCGAACCAATTATCACCACTTCATCTGAATCAGATTCTGAAAGGAAATAAAATGACAAAAATTATTAAACTGGAAAAAAAAGTACCAAGAACAATTCTAACATGAAAACTAAACAGTTATAAAGAGAAAATTAAAAAATATACATATACAAGGTGCGATGGGTAAATTGTCACAATTTTTATATTTTTAATTTCATGCATGCATGTTTTGGATTTTGTCAACTGCACAGTATAGTAGGGTTAGTTGGGCACCATCTGTGCAAAAAAGAGCAACATGATGCAATTCACTCTGCCAGAGATTTGTGAATGACATACTTTACTACTTGGCATTTGCATCAGACGCTCCAATACAAAGATTTCAGAGTGTTTGGGTATCAATCTGAGGACAGTGCAGAGGATTCGGAAAGAATTGGTGGAGTCTAATAGTAATTAAAAAGGTACAGCAGCTCAGAAAACTCACTCTGATAAGAACTCCCAAATTTGTTGGTGAGGGCTTCAGAGTCAACATGTGGGCCTACATCAAGTCCTTTGAGGAGGCAGTGCTGCCTAGGTCAAGAGGATGGCTGCTGGAAGAGCCTATGGCTGGCAACAGGACTCTGCACCATGCCACACAAGCAAGAGAACCAAGTCATGTTTGTCAGACAATTTTTGCAACCACATCACCCTTTACATCTGGCCACCTAACTCCTCAGACTTGCAAGCCCATCAATTATTATGTGTGGGACGCAGTTGAGTTACAGGAGATTCTGAAGTCATTTGGAGGCCATGGTTGAAGTCAATTGTGATTTTATGTAACAAATTTACTCTTTAGTATTTAAAGATATATTTACCAAAATTGCATAAAAATATCTGTTAAAATGAGATGTCAGTGTTATTTTCATTTTTGCATAATTTAGACAACAGTTTATCCATCCCATGCTGTATAAGAAGAAATTGTTATAAAATTTGTTAGTGAACAAGAATTTTATGCAACTCTTAAAAATTACACTACCTTTCTCTAATTACATAGTTATTTCATTACTTTAAACCAAAATAAATATATAAATGGAAAAAATACATTAGAATATAGACTGTAAAATAGACAAGGAAAAATGATGAGGGCATTGAGAAATAGAAGTGTAACCTGAACAAGCTGAACATAAATGATAGTTTAACATACAAGAATTTAAAAACAATAGTCCGAAAAATGATTTCTTTTTTTCCATTGCATTTGAGAAATGATTATTTTTATTCATAGGAATTTATAAACATTTGCTCATACACTAGCTATTTACAACACCTGTAAAAACAAAACTTGGATGAAATAATTCAAAGTTTTTGTTTACTCTAATGATTATACTTTTACTGACACAGCAAATTCTAGTGATAAGAGAAAGTGAAAAAATATTTATGGTTCAATTACATTTAAACCATGTATACTTAAAATTTCTGCTTTTATCATTGCTCTTATAGCTAAGTTACTACTATTATTTTGAAATTAGTTTTAGTCATTTTATGCCATCAATATTTCTAAGAATCAAAATTTGAAGATTATTATAGAATTTTTGTAGTATTTTTTTTTTAACTTAAAATTTGTTTCAATACTCAATCTGTATATTTGGTAATGAGATTCAGGAAAATAAATGGATTGTAAGTGGTTAGGAATTAAGGCAAGCATGACTGACAGAATAGGGCTATTATATTGATTTCAGTATTTTTTTTTTTTTTTGACTTTTAGCCAAGTAGCTGGCCAGTCTGTGTGTGCAACTACATAAGCTTATTTCCCTGGGTTTTAGTTTAATCTCTCTAACAAGAAGTTGCTAATTAACCAAGTCAGAGAAATAGTCTTTGAAACATCATTCACTATTGAAGACATTAACTCCCTTTTTTCTATTTTTTCTCCTGATATCCACTTATACTGATCCTTTGACACAAATATCTTTTTCTTAAAAAATTGTTGCAAAAGATGTATATTTAAAAATGTTTATAGCAATTACAGCATTTAAAATATTCATATTTTCTAGTCATCATAAATTAAAGCAGTTTTATTTTTAAGATTAAGCTAAGTGATTTTCCTACCCAAACCTTTCTGTTCATCTCAATAATTATTACAATTATGGAATACTTGACCTTTCATAATTGATATTTTTGGAAGAGTTTTACCTTCAAAAATATTATTCTCCATTTTGGAATTTTACAAGTCTAGATTATCTTGTTGAATCACCACTGCTTCTTCACGTTTACTTTTCCCTTTTGAAATTTACTTGTAAATCTGAAAACTAAAAAATTTCATATCAACACACCAAAAAAACTAATATTAAATCTGATGCATTTAAATTCTGTATTTTTGCTGAGAAAAAAATAATGTTAAACTAAATTATTCAGAACATCACGATTATTTGAAAACTTAACTGGAATAGAATTAGTCAAAGTCCAACATGCAAAAACCAATTATTCTACTGCTATTTACTTCGATCTTTACTCTAGTGGTTTAAATTGTTAAAACAATCAGAACATTTAATGTGTACATTGACTCTTTATTGAGTTTAGTTAACAATTATAGTTTTTGAACCTTTTCAATCTAGTGATGAGAAGACATTTCAAAGAGGAGAAATGTCTGTGTTTTTATTAGTTCTCTAACATGTTATGTATACAATTGGCCAGACTTTAATATTGTCACTAATAATCTAACATATTGATAAATATTTAAACCTTGTAACATTTTCTCTTTCATATACTGTAAATAATTTAGAAATTAAAAATAAATGATAAATCTGCTAGGAGTTTTAAATGACATATGCACAATGTTTATAAATGTTTTGAATACCTAAAAATTCAACGTCTTATAGTCTTCACATCTAGCCAAGAAAACTTTTTTTTTCAAAGTAACAACACTAAAATACAACTGATACAGGTTACAATCTGAACAGAATATATACTTAAAAAAAACAGAACATACAACTGTGTCTTAGGTAAAAATTAGGTTACCTCAATATCTAATGACAACAAATGTAAAACTTCTTTTCATTCTAAATCTTTATAGCAATGAATACAAATAATACAATGCAAAAATGTTCTCTTTTGTAAATAAAAAGAGATTCCATTTGAGTATTTCAGCTGGTTACTAAGATTTAAAGTCACTTCTCAATGGATTGAATATTTTTATAACAGAAAATATTCCTATTGCCTTTGGTTTAAATACAATGGATTCCAATATTACCAATGTGGTTTTGATAAATTATTTATATCACAACTGAGACAGTTTACCAAACCAATAGACATCTGCAAGTTGAAATAATAAAAATATTTAGCCAGTGACATAAGATAGTTAAACATTTGTAGCAAACCTTCTTACATACGATGAATTAATAAAGAATTAATTGAACTGATCAGATTTATTCTAAAATTGATAAATTCAAAATGGCTCCTAAATGCACAATTTGATCCATGTCAATAGGGTACTGACTGTATATATAACAGATCTATTCTTTACTCCTACCTACATGTTCTTCAGATTAGAATCTCTTGGGACACATCACATTTAGCTTTCAAACTTGTAACCAAAATACAATGACCAGGCAATTTATAAAAAAAAGATACCAATGCCTTAAAATTAGACCATATTTCTCAAAAACACTTTATATCACATTAGTTAACAACTCCAAGAAAAAAAATCCCTACAACAAAACATTTGCTGCAATATTTTTGACCAGAAACTACAATCTTTATATTTCTTAAACTGAACATCATATAATTAAAAAAAAAAAGAACATTTTGGCAAATTTATTTCTAGCAAAACTAGACACTCATTAAAATAATAGTAGTAATAATAACACCAGACAAGAATTTTAGGAAAAATAATAAGAGAAAAATGCTACATTGTTTTACATTTTACTGAAAATATTCCAAATAACATGAAAAAAAATATATACAAAACATACAATTAATCTTCTGATTATCAACAACCAAAAGTTTAAAAATAAAAAATGCTGACAAACTTCCATGAGAAAGATATGAACTAGCACCATTTAATCCAGGGGATTGTGGAGAGAAACCACACAAGCAATTTTCTCCTAATTCCATCCCTTCACCATCTTTGACCCTTACAAAATAGAAAACAACATGCCATGTTTAAGAAAACGTTTGTGTTCCTGGAAAAAGTTAAGGGAAAGAAAGAAAAACAACAACAAAAAAAAAAAACTTAGATTCAAATTCCTTTCCAAAAGATTAGTTACCCAACAAGAAAATAACAATCTACTTTTAAAAGCTGGCCCTTCAGGCTCAATGCAGACAAGCAATTCACACACTTGACTACACAAACACATATGAAGAAAAAAATACCGCCATGAAAAGGAGGTTAATATTTTTCATAAGTGCTGTTTTTATAAGTATTCAAGAGATTTAAGAATTTTAATTTAGAATAACAAATGTAAATTTTCATCATAGCATGAAGACATTTCTAAAACAAAAAATATAATCTAATAAAATTAGGACTTTTCTAGAACATTTTTCTTTGAACCAGCAAATGTAGTAATACTTGCAATTTTTCATGGTTTCAACTTATGCAAATCACTGAAAATTCCTACTATTTATAACAGAGTGTAAAAATGATCTTTTAATGTTAAAAATCATTGACAGAAAATTGTGTTTACCGTAATTAGAAAAACTATGAAGTACATTTTATGCAGAAGCACTGATATATATTTTATATTCAAACAGTCTAGAATGAATTAACCAGTGACAGATTCATAAAAAATTATCCTGTAGCAAATAAGGTATGAGTGATTTCATTTTTTTCACCTTAGTTTTGCTGAAATAAAATATTTTGATAGGTAAATGTTCACTTTTGAGAGAAAGACTGGATTTTCTTCAATACAAGCTCTTGTAACTGAAAAGCTTGGTCAAAATTCAAAGAAAGCGAATAGCAGGAAAACAAATGATTGAATATAATCAGTTTTATGAATATTCAAGATTCAAGAATTTTAATTTAGACTAACAAGTAACACAAATTTTAGTCCCCACCAACCAGAAGCTAAAGTCATCCATACTTTTAAAGTA